GATCATGTTTCTATTATAAACAGCAAGCAAAACATGTAGATCTAGCATCAGGTTAAGATTTTATATCAAAAATCCTCTTTTTATCATGTTAAATAGTTAAATCTAAGCATCAAAATATCCATATTACTTTATAACCCAAGATCTACTCCATGGGTAAGGTTTGGATGCATGAGATCTTGCCTCAATCACAGTGTTGATCTCCTGAACGTGTGTGCAAAGTCCTTTCTTCAGCTACAACCCTCAATCTCTCCCTCTGCTCGATGTCACATCTCAAAACGTCTCGAGGAACTCAAAAACGGCTCTAGGGTTTAGGGGGAAGGAGGTGGCTGTATTCTATGGTAAATAATCTCAAGAATTAGAGTTTTTACGTGTTTAAAAACTAAAGATATCAATTGGGTTCGAAAACAACACAAATCCAACCTGAAAACTAAAACTTGGCACGTCCAGGAATTCCCGATAGTCTACTACTCATGCTTAGTAGTCGACTACACTATAATATTTAAGATTTTGTCTATTGGTTACGAGCTCTTAGTAGTTGACTACTCTGAACATTAGTCGACTACTGAGAGTCTGTGCAAGCTGATTCATTCTCATACTCGGGAATATATAGCCGAATTGATCTCAAGTCAATTCCTAATGTACTCAAACATCAAAATATGCTATTTATCACAATATAACATATTAAATATCATTTATCACATAATTCAAATTTGTAGGGTTTTATAGCTGACTAGACTCGGGTAGTTGATGCTGTTAAGCCTGCAGTTGTTGAGCATGCAATTCCCTCATCTGTTGCTTGGTTAACTCCATTTCCATCTTCATTTCAGATCTAAACTATTCTCTCTGCTTAGCCAGAGCTTCTTAAAGCATTTGAGCCAACTGACCATGAGTGATTGTGAATGCCTCTCTGGTTAGTCCCATGCTAGATGTTTTTTCATCTAAAGCGACTGTGGAGCACGTATCTGATGCTTCATCATCTAAAGATATTCCTTTATGCATCCTCTAATAATACCTACGTCTGACTCCCATCTGGAGCCGAGTTATACGCTGGGATATCCCCGGATAAGAGTCGGGACTAGAGTTGGTCGAGCGCCGTTTTAACTTTCCTTTATCAACCATATTAATGGTGACTTCGGGGAATTCTTTCGCACTGTAGCAACACTGTAGTTGATTGGGACTGTAGTAATGTTTGCTGCAGCAGGAAAATAAAAAATGTGATTTACTATAGTACTTTTACGCTGTAGCAACAATACTGCAGAAGTAAAAAATTCTTTCGACACTACAACAACACTGTGGTGGTTGAATTGTAGCAGGGGGGTCCTGTAGCAAGGAAAACCGAAAATGTGATTTTTTTACTATAGCAAAACACTGTAGCAGGTATTTTGAAATAAGTGTTGTGTTTTTTATTCGAATATGGTTTAGCTCTAAAAACACCATGGTTTTCAAATACATTATGTTTTATTTTTGATTAAAGGGAAAAATGCTTCCAGCCCCCAAAAGCCAAGTGAACGTGCTTCCCACCCCCAAGACTTGGTCAATGGGTGTTTTACCCCTAAAAATAAAGATTTTATTCTCTGAGCCCCCAAAACACAAAACCCAAGACATTAAAACATGTGAAGACCATAATACCCTTCTCTCTCTCTTTCTTTTTTTATTAAAATATGATGAGGATTATTTTATTATTTCTCTCTCTCTCTTTATCATGATGTACCAAGAGGATCTTTAGATAGGTAACCCTAACAATTAAACCCGTAACCTTAACAATTAAACCCGTAACCTTAACAATTAAACCCGTAACCTTAACAACAAATCCGTAACCTACACAACAAATCCACAACCTTAACAACAAACCCTTAACCTTAACAACCAACCCGTAACCTTAACAATCAACCCGTAACTTTAACAACCTCCAAATACAAACAACCAAAATAATAAAAAACGAAAATAATAAAATAATCCTCATCAATCATTTCAACTATCCTCTTGGTACATCATGATAAAGAGAGAGAGAAAACAAAAATAATAAAATAATCCCCATCATATTTTAATAAAAAAAGAAAGAGAGAGAGAGAGGATTCATAACCTTAACAACAAACCCTTAACCTTAACAACCAACCCGTAACCTTAACAATCAACCTGTAACTTTAACAACATCCCAAAACAAACAACCAAAATAATAAAAAACGAAAATAATAAAATAATCCTCATCGATTATTTTAACTATTCTCTTGGTACATCATGATAAAGAGAGAGAGAAAACAAAAATAATAAAATAATCCCCATCATATTTTAATAAAAAAGAAAGAGAGAGAGAGAGAGAGAGGATTCATAACATTAACAACAAACCCTTAACCTTAACAACCAACCCGTAACCTTAACAATCAACCCGTAACTTTAACAACCTTCCAATACAAACAACCAAAATAATAAAAAACAAAAATAATAAAATAATCATCATCAATCATCATGATAAAGAGAGAGAGAGAGAAAACAAAAATAATAAAATAATCCCCATCATATTTTAATAAAAAAAGAAAGAGAGAGAGAAGATTCATAACCTTAATAACAAACCCTTAACCTTAACAACCAACCCGTAACCTTAACAACCAACCCTTAACCTTAACAACCTCCCAATACAAACAACCAAAATAATAAAAAACGAAAATAATAAAATAATCCTCATCAATCATTTCAACTATCCTCTTGGTACATCATGATAAAGAGAGAGAGAAAACAAAAATAATAAAATAATCCCCCATCATATTTTAATAAAAAAAGAAAGAGAGAGAGAAGGGTATTATGATCTTCACATGTTTTAATGTCTTGGGTTTTGTGTTTTGGGGGCTCAGAGAACAGATTCTTTACTTTTAGGGGTAAAACACCCATTGACCAAGTCCTGGGGGTGGGAAGCATGTTCACTTGGCTTTTGGGGGCTGGAAGTATTTTTCCCTTGATTAAAACATCATGGAAACAAATAAACACGATGGTATCTAAACGGGGCCTTCACTATTTTATGTGATTCTTTTGTTCTATCAAACAAGAACAAATAAAACCCTTCTCGGGTTTGGGCTCCGAACTCATACCCTCAAACCCAATAGCAACCCCAAATTCACTGAGAACCGTCGATGCTGATCCTACAACCAGTAGAAACCAAATTCACTCTATTTAAACCCCTAGAAACTCCCCCATCATCTTCCACTCTCTTTGATTGCCTCCGCCCTCAAACATCTCTCTAGACCCATTCATTGGTTGATGGCTTGGAGGAAGTGACAGCAAATTGCCGTTGAGGAGGCTGGATTTCCTGACGCTTCCTGAACTCCAAGTATGCGTAGTATTGAACCCCGTCGACTGATTCCTATGACTTGGCGATTTGACGAGCCAGACGTTGGTGTTGCCTCTGACGAGCCCTCTTCGTCAAAATTGGCGCGCCTTCATCAAATGACTCCTTGACTGAAGATGAGTTATTGCGAGCAGAAGCTTCGGCTTCATTGGAAGCCGAAGAGACGTTGTAAGGGGAAGCCTCCTCAATAATTGGGGGAGAGTAATCACCCTAGGTCTTCTTCAGATCTGAAGACCAGCGAACCTTCTTCGAGGAAGAGATCTTCCTGCACCAGCGAAGGGAGGAGGATCCGGAGGAGGAGGATAAGATGTACTCCTCAAACTTGGTCTGGCCGAACTCGTACTCGATCTCTGCATCAACTGGGATCTTAATCTTCGGTTGTGACACAACAGCCTTGGCAGCGAGGCTGTTGGCTTCCACTATAGTCTCCAGCGTATTTGCGTCAGAAATCTTTTTCATTGTGGAATCCATTACAAATCGTTTATCAAATTACAAATTCAAAAAAAGTGAGTCTTTTTATAAGACTTCTTTACACAAATGAAAACGAACAAATAAGATCTCCTAGAAACACACGCATAGACTGTTTATCGATCGCTTCTTGCGTGTGATCTTTGCCTGTATCGGGGACGCGTTAGCCCATGGACCGCCGAATAACAGATCCGAGTTGATCTAAAAGAAGGCATAGTGTTCTTTGTTTCATTCAAGGAAACTTAGATAAACCCCTTGTGATCCGGGTTGATCCGTTAAATAAGTTTTATTTTAGCCATTGTGATCAGTTTTAGTGTTTGGAAATAACAATGATTTTGACTATTTTCTTTATAATTAGAAAGGTTAACTCCTAATCCTCCTAAATAGGAGTATTAGTAAACCCCTCATTTTGAGAGGCTAACTCATTTTAATCTCTCTAGAAGGGTTAGTCATTTCTATATTTTTTATGTTTGGAAATTTATGGAATGCTAACTCACTTTAACCCTTATATATATTTTTTGTGTTTGACGAGTTAAGAAGGGATTAAATCTCCTTAGGAGACTTAACCCTAAGAAGACTTAACCCCTCACTTAACGCTTTGCCTCAAAGATTTATTTGTAACGTCTGAATAACCCAAAACGACAAAAGAAATCTCTGCGTAAGGGCAGCTTAGGGGCTGTTTGGTTGTATGTTTTTATCATGTAAAATGATGGAAAGTATAAAAAAGTGGGTCTCAATGTCAGCTTTCATCACTTTACATTGTTTGTTTAAATTTTCTTTTACATGAAAAGCTTACACCTTTTGATGAGGTGTCACCGAAAGCAAAATCACCAAAATTAGGAGTGATTTTGTTGGAAAGCTTACACAATGTCATAAATGTGTCCAAAAAAATAATAATAAAGTCAAAACCTTGTAGAAAGTGGTGAGGTGGATAACCATTTTCCATTTTGTGTCATAAATACTCTAGTTTACATTATACTATCCAAACAATGTAGTACTATTATTTTAGGATTCACAAAGATTCCTAACCAAACAATGTAAACACTCAAATGAAAAATGGTGAGGTGGATAACCACTTTCTATTTTGTGTCATAAATACTCTAGTTTCCTAAAGGCATCCAAACAACCCCTTATTGGTAATGTCTAATGATCCGCAAGGACAAAGGAGATCTCTCGATAGGCGTGCTGCCCTTCACACCCCCAACGATAAGTTCATTACCCGGAAACACACCGCCTGCGGCCCTTGTTTTAGCCCCTCACACATGAACCTCGTGTCGTTTTTTTGACCAAATATCAACACTAGCACTCGCCACTCAAATTCTACAAATACTCGATCCCCATCCATCTCAGTCCCCAAATTGCCCCCCTCCCCTTCGACCTCCAAACCCTAGGAAACCCTAGAAGCGGCCATGGCCACCGCCTCCTTCTCCTTCCTCTCCGACGACATCGTCCTCAACATCTTCACCAATCTCGAGTCCGACGACTGGGCTCGCCTCTGCTGCGTCTCCGCTCGCTTCGCCGCCCTGATTCGCTCCATCCTTTGTCGAATCCAAAGTGCCTCCGGTGATCCCGCTGACTTCGTCACGCCCGCCATCGTCTCCTCAGCCTCCGGCGAGCCCGCGGCGGCTGGTCCGCCTCCACAAGCTCTCCGTCTGCTGCCCCGGCCTCGTCCACGCCGGCGTCCTCCTCGAGAACTCGACTTCGGCCTCGAGCGCGACATCGGCCCGCACGAGAGCTACCGCGTTGTCACCCTTGCGTCGTCGTCGTCGTCGTCCTCCGATCCCTCGGCGGCTGCCGGGGCGAGTCCTCCATCGGTTGGCTGGCTCTATGTTCGATGATCTCTACTCCGACACGGTGTACGATTCCTCGGAATCCCAGCTCCCTGCCCCCGCCGTCAGCAGCGATCAAGAGCCGATCAGGCTGGGCCGAGACGTAATGAAGAGGAGGAGGCAGTGGATTGGGCCTGTTAACTCCCATATGGCCTCTGGAGCTTGGAGTTTCAGCAGGGAGCAGGGGAACAAGATCCTCGCCAGTCGATTCCGAGGGGATTACCTGTACATTTGTGATTGGCCTGGGTGTGTTCATGCTGACGAGAAGAGGAAGTACATGTTGTTTAGGGGGGTATTCAAGAATTTCAAGAGGTCGAGGGTTTGGAGAGCCATAAACGATGCCAAGCGAAAGGAACTTGGGTTGGGCTGTGGGTATTGTGGGTGCAGAGAGACTTATGATCTTCTCTCTGCCTTTTGTTTGAGGAGGGTTTTCGGGTATCATGATGACGGAGAGCCTGTGGTGCGTGCGTATGTCTGTGAGAATGGGCATGTTTCGGGGGCCTGGACTGATAAGCCCATGTACACATGAGGTTGTGGCGCTGGTTGGTATTTTCTATTACTATGTTGCGATCGATTTCAGTTATCTTAGCTTGGGTTTTTCTACTTGTTGATGCTAGCATTTAATTTGGTTTCTATGTGCTTAGCGGGTTGGGGATGGTGTAAGCATTTTCACTATTGTGATGGAAAATGAACGTGAATATTTTCCTTCATGATGCTTGTCGTGTGCCATTATGTTTATCTTTTCTGCATTGGTTAATGTGCTTAATAGAAAAATGTGATTGTTGATTTAGTTTATGTTTGATACATAGAGGGATTTGTTTTTATGTTGTGTGTGTGTGATCAATTTGTTTCCTATACATTGTTTTTTTTTATAGTGATATGAGCGGGAAGCATCCCTGCATAATTGTCTGGTTGCATCTGTGCTGTATCAGGTATTTGCTGTACTTGGGCATATCACAAGCTGTTAATATGGTATCGGTTGATCATCCAATGTTGATGTTGTTGTTATATGGTATTGGTTGATCATCCAATGTCGAGGATGTTGAGATTGGACAATTTTTCTCATTTTTTTTGCAGGTGAGCATTGTCGCAGATACTGGGGGCTGTTCGATGCAGGCACTTTGATGAAGGTTAGGCTCCCTCTAGGGTATGGTTCTTATGTTTAACTCTGTTCTTGCAGCTTATCTGCTATCCTTGTCTTCACTAAACATAAAAAGTGTTTAGAACCTACTAGATTCTCTTTCTATTTTCTTGGTTTAGTATCTTTTTTATTGAATTTGAAAATATTGGTACTCCGCTATGAATAAAAAGGGGTTCAGGTATCGGGGGTTGAGTTCATAACATTCGAGGATTGCTTATGATTTAGTGGACTTATTTGGAAAACTCCTAGGCAAAAGTGTCGTGTAAAAGGTTCGTGGATTTTTATTGATAGCCGTACATTCGGCAGGTAGAAATTGAGGTTCTATAAATCTTAAGAGTTTTGTTATCCTTCACTGATTGAATTTAAGAAAGCTTGTTATGAACATTCCTTTTGCACACAGGAGCTGTGCATTATTTTGTAAAGGCAAATGTCCCTTCTCACCTTATTCAATCTTGAATCTACAACAAATGGAATCTGAGACATTTGTTTGGTTTTTGGGTTTCTGATATATTGGTCACCATTTTGAAACAAGTCCCACACGATGCGATATTATAAAATGCGCCCCCCAAAACCTATATACTATCCCAAATTTTACATTTTTGGGTTTTCAATCTTTTTAGTTTAATCCCAAATAGAAGTAACAACAATAAGTTTTTCTAGTTTCTCAGTGCACCCCGAGTTTCATCTTCATGCTTCTAGCAATTACGAATGTGCCGGTTCCTTCTAAACCCATTAACATTTGCACACGGCACATAATATTTTCAGTTTAGAGCTTATAATATGAGGAACGTTTTAATGGGTTTAGAAGAAGCTGTTGCCTGCATGATTGGAAGTGAAGAAAGACGAGTATAATGTGAAAACAGAGAAAAACTAACTGCCATTACTTTCATTCGGGGTTATACTAACAGATTAAAATTGGAGGACCTAATTTTGGGGCAAGTAATGCGTTTTGGAAGGACTATAATATGATTTTTGGGGATTCTTTCAAATTGATTTGGGGGACCAATATTTAAAAAATCCTTTATCTTTTTCAGTTCTTGTTGCTAACTAAATCCTTTTTATCTAGTAGTGGAAGGTTGTTAATCATCTCCATTCCTCAAAGATAGATTTTCACTGTGACGAGACTTTAATGAAGTTAGAATTTTGCTTTGACTTGTTGTGTATTTGCATTAAATTATTGTTATCTGATGCTTTAGCTATGAGTATGCCAAAATAGGCGCCCCTTGAGATGGTCTATAGTTTGCCATTTGGATTAGTTCTTAGTTCCAAATCAGACACTAGCAACTCTAGAAAATGCTTGTAGTTTCTTACAATATCTCAATGCCTATATTTGGTCATGAATATTCATATTTAAGATGCAGGTCATATATTTTAATCACTAACAGTATGTTAGAATTTATGGCGTCCTTGTTTAATTAGATTATGTGTTACTGAGTTCATGTTGATTCTGTACTTGTTGTTTCGCCACTCTATTCTAGGCAGCAAGTGGAAGATCATGGCGGCATGACCCTTTGTTTCCTCCCTTCATTCCTCTTTCTGTATCTCGCTGAAGTTGAGAGGATACGAATTTTCAGCATCAGAATATTGTTGATCCAGTGCCATATTTAATTCCATATCCTGGATCGATTTCAGCATCACTTATATTCCATATCAGAATATTTTTGATTCAGTACCACATTTTCGATTTCAGTGGGCTTTATGTGAAGATGGCGGGAAACGATTATGTATGATGACTACAAACACTTCTGAGAGTTTCAATGGTGTGTTTAGGGGAGCACGTGGTATGCCAATACAGTCACTAGTTGCTAAAACATTTTATAGACTTAATAACTTTTTTTCTCCGACGTCGCATACTTGGTGAAAATATCCATTCAGAGTTCACGCCGAAGGTTAAAGAACTGTTAGCGGCTCGAATTGTGCAAGCTCGATCATTTCATATCGTAAGATGCAGTTTTAATGAATGAGAGGTCATTGAGGGTATATCACATAGAGAAAGTCGCTCTTACAAAGTCAATATGCTAGTGGATCGCACATGTACGTGTACTTGCAATGTACCGCAACTACAATGGCTTCATTGTTCACATGTTGTAACGGTTTGCTCTAATCTACAGGGTGGTGCAAGGGTTTCACATTATGATTACTCCGGAAATTGTTATTCAACTTACAACTATCAACAAACGTACAAAGAGTGTTTTCGTCCACCATATGATAGTCGTCATTGGACACAAGACGGACCACGAATATTACCTCATTTGGTGAAAAGATCAGCGGGACGCTCTCGTTCCGTACGAATTAGATATAGTATGGATGAAGGTCGTGAAGGAATTAGGAGGAAAAATAAGTGTAGTAGATATGATCAGCCGGGCCACAACAAAAATAGTTGTCCGGCTAGGAATAGGCGTTGATTTTGTAATGTTAATGTTAATGTTCCCGTATGACATTCGTATTTGTAATTTGTAGTGTTTTGTACTATGTTTAGGATCTACTTTTAATGTATGATTTCTAATTAATCCTTACGACATATTATGAATTTGTAATATTTTAATCTCAGCTATATCCATTATGGACCCGGGTCCTATACATCGTGACGTTTTGTACCTCCAGGAGAGTCATTGTTCGCATCATATTGGCATGGGACAGGTAAAAATGTATTTGTAATATACATTCCTTATTTTCGGCACTAATAATAATTTTTCTCAACCTACTTAATTCATTTTTTTTACATGTGCAGCCCGTACATCACCATGGTCGATCATTTACAAAGTCATTCAGCTTAGGTCATTAAGGACGAGAGAGTCCTAGAGCTGATAACGCAGGTCGGGTTCCGGGAGTGTTCTGTAGTGCGATATATTCGGCTTGATTGGCCGCTTATCAGTGCACTGATTGAGAGGTGGAGGCTAGAGACCAACACTTTTCACATGTATATAGGGGAATGTACCATCACACTACAGGATGTAGTCGTCATACTTGGGCTCCGCATTAACGGCCTGGCAGTTACGAGCATCGACGACCATAATTGGGTTGAGGTATGTGATAGGCTTCTTGGACAGGTTCTAGATTTGAGGAGTGGTGCGATGAATCTATCGTGGCTTCGCCAGGCATTTCAGGGAGATATACCAGCAGATGCCTCCATTGAGACGCTTCATTATCACGCTCATGCGTACATATTGCATATGATAGGGTCGATGCTATTTCTTGATGCGAGCAAGACCCTTGTACATGCACGATGGCTTCCACTCCTAGAGGATCCGGATGTATGCCGCGCACTATCGTGAGGCAGTACGGTGTTAGCATACTTGTATAGAGAACTGGGTAGAGTATCTTTGATACAGAATAAAGAATTCAAGGGATGATGCACGTTGATCTAGATTTGGTCTTGGAAGCGCATTCACATTGGACGTCCTACTTTGGTTGTGCACCACAACCTACAGGGCCAATTTCCTTTGGCATACAGGTATAATTGTATGCAATGTTTTATTCATATTGAATTTGTACTCATATATTCTTTATGCTAAATAGGTATAATGTGCGGTTCGTTAAATACAAATATGCGACGCGGCATCGTGAGTTTTACAGAAATGAGCTTGATGTCCTCCAACATGAACATGTAAATATAAAACTCGATTCGTATGAATATTATAGTTTTGTTGTTGATACTGAAAAATATTTTATCTTATTTCAGTTCAAGTGGAGACCTTATTCACTACCGGATTTTGAAATGCATACTCTTGTACCTATATGTCGGGATAGTCCCGATTTGTGGAGAGTCAGAGTTCCATTGATCTGTTGGGAGATCGTGGATATGCATGTCCCTGATCGTGTGCTATGCCAATTTCTGCATTCTTAGCATGTGCCGGATTCTGTTGAGGTGATCAATCGTAGGTGGCGACCTACATCGCATCGGACCGACTGGGTCGTACTCCGTGAGGACTAAATAGACCGATGGACGCACATGTGGGATTTCATACAGAATGAGAGAGACACAGTTGTTGACTATACCGCGTATATGCACTGGTATTGGGATATCACGCGTAGATGGATCACGCGTGACCCACAACCATCCGTTGGATACGTGGCACGCCCACCGACAGACAATTACTACCTAGTGGGATGAACGAGAGAGATTACGTAAGTTTCTAAACTAAAGTGTGTATATATTGTTTAACTCGTAATTTTTTAAGATACTTAATAAATTGTGTATATATTGTTTAACTCGCAGGTCGCAGCTTTTGATGATATTGAAGCTGATATTGATGTGTATATGCCTGAGTTTTAGGATCTGACGATGATGTTAGGGTTCCTCTGCTGGATCAAGAAGAGAATAGCCCAGGTGTTTCATAGGACTCACGTCGACGAGTTTGCAAGTCGTGAGGACAGGTCGCGATCATTTGGGCAAGTGTACACACGACGACGTAGGACACGTGACGATGGAGCAGACACTTCTCATGCTGATGGAGCCGACACTTCTCAACCTTATACACAACCGGATACTCAGATAATCGAGGTCCATCCGTAGGAACGTAGGGGGCGGGGAAGAGAGGGAGAGGAAGGAGAGGAGGAATTACGGGTTGTATGTGATCTTATTTTGTTGAAATTTGTAACTTTTATGAATTTGCAAATCAATAATTTTGTAGATCAATTATTGTTTATATATGTGATCTTCGTGTGTGAAGTTAGATTTGTGTTAATTCATGACTGGAAGTTTATATGTTTATATGAAATATCATATTGTTCACAGGTGAACCTTACGCATACGAAAAACATGCACAGACAGATGTGCAGTTTTTTTTGGAAAACTACAACTCCACGGGACTTGAAGTCCCGTGGAGTTACAGGGTAGATTTTCCAGAGAGTCGATTCTCTGGAAAAATCAACCTCAAACTTGAAATTTTTGAGAATTTGTTTGCACGTTCAAAAAGCTTCACGGGACTTGAAGTCCCGTGAAGTTTAGCAGCTTAACAATTTGGCTGCGAAGTCCCTTGAAGTTTCGGAAGTTTTTTTTTTTTAAAACCGAACTGGTTTCAGCGTTGACGCTGAAACCAGATCGGTTTTGTAATTAAGTGCAAAATAGGGTTTTTTGGGGATTAAAAGTCCAAAAGGGACTGTTTACAAAATTTGTCCAATGGAATATTAGTGATGTTGTATCTTGAATACTTTTGCTTAGTTTGGATGAATTTTCTATATAGTTTTAGCCTTAGGTAAATATGACAACTAAGACCTACAGTTGCTGTTAAAATTTTCTTAGCAACTTTTAGGTTATTTTCACTCTATTTTACCCCAAAGTTTCACATAATTTTGGAAATTTAATTAGTATCCTGAATTTTAAATTTTCCCAAATAGTATCTTAATGTTTCACCAATTTATATTTTAGTGCTTTCTGTTTTGGGATCATACTAGTTTCCATTATAAACAGGCAATATTAATTAGGAACATGCTTGTCTGACAATTTACCCCTATTTCAAAAGAATATTCCACCATGCCGTTTCTTCCTCCTTCTATTTAATAGTGAATCCAATTGTCTTCTTCTTAATTTGATTTCTTAATTTAATCCAAATACAAAGTAATTAAATTTGATAGCAAAATCTTTCTCATCCCATTGCATGTACTAATAATATCCATGATTTTGTGTAGGTTTTTGAATTATTAGGGTAATAGTTTTTATTATTATAATATAATGGATCTATATGCGAGAACTTGCATACTGCTTGTCTGATAATAACATGGAAATGTTTCTAGAAGTTGTTATCAAAACCCATGACAGGACAAAAGTGTCACCGATCAGCGGTCAACTTCAAGTTTCTACCCGTTTCCACTTGGTGCTATTTATCTACTTGTGAAGTGGTTTCCACTTCCTTCAATCACATGATGCCAGATTTACCCTTCTCTTTATTTTTGAAGATTGACTGAGTTCACAAAAACGGACAAACTCCGGTTACCTCATTGCTGACAAACATCGTCAACTTTGAATGCAGTTTTCTTGAGCTAGACTGAGTAGCCATGATCCAACCCCCCCCCCCCCCACCACCCCCCCAAAAAAAATTGGAAAAAAAAGCGAAGGTTAATTCACGTTTTATTATTTTTGCAGATAGATTTCTCGGCCAAAAATTTGGTTGCCGATGGAAAGGATGGTAAGTTCTGAAAACATTGGTCATTTATATCATGTATGTTATAGCAAACAAGTCAGGAACTACCGCAAAAGGAAGTACATCTCAGTTTTATGTTAAACTTCTGAAAATGATATTTGACCAAAATTTTTCATTGAATTAATTTTGTATTTTTTAATGCCACTATTAGGAATTAAAATATTGTCTATTTTGGTTACACGTGTGCACTAATTGACGTGCCAAAATAGAGTATACAATCTTCTTTTTTTTTCTTTGGTACATAACTGTATACATTAATCTTTTCCTATTATGTTTCTTGCTCACGTAGTAATATCTTTTACGTTTGTGGGCTGATGCTGTTTCTAGCCAAACCTTTTCTAGTAATATATATATACATGTAGAATATGGTTTTGGTGCCTCATCTCCTTGGAATTCTAAATAACATATTCTTTTTTTTAGCTAGCTTCATCTTTCTCCATCACTTTTCACACCACGTCTTCAGAGTACTTTTAGAAAGCTCCAAGCATTTCTAGCCTGCTGAGTCCTGTACTACAGCAGAAGAGTTTTATATTCTTTTCTTCTAAAATTCTCTCGGTCGTCTTTGGCGGAGAGCTTTATGCTCATCCTTGTTTAAGACCTTCAGGCCTTCTTGGGTTTCACTGTCATTGGCAGCTCTAACTGTATCTACCCTTCTTTCCGCTTAGATCTCTCTCTCTCTCTCTTGGTGGAAGCATGAGGTTGTTTTTGTTGCTATTTCTATCAATCCCTGCTGCGAGCAGTGCGGAGAGTAGTAGCACGAGTGTGAGCAGGGTTGACTTCCCAAAGGGGTTTGTGTTTGGTTCAGGAACCTCAGCTTATCAGGTGATTCTTCTCCTCCTCCTAGTTTTCTTCCCAACATATATAGAGCTAGCTATAAGAAAATGGATAAAGATAAAGATAAACACACATTATATTCTTTCGTGGCAGGTCGAAGGAGCAGCATCTGAAGATGGGAGGACGCCTAGCATATGGGACACCTTCGCACATAACGGTTTGATATCATCATGCTTATATGTAATCTCTTTTTGTATGCGTTTCAGTTGCTGTTGGATCTCTTAGTATTCAGAAAAATAGCTATTGCATCTAAATTAGCTAGCTATGCGCTTTTGGGGCACCATGCTCTTTGTATGTGCTTCCTTGTGGAAAGTGAAAGGGTTTTTCTATAGATACCATCTTTAAAATAGTTTCATTCTATAGAGACCGTCAAAGGTTTTTTTGTTGCAATTAACCGCATGGGCCCACTTTCCAGTTAATTTTTTCCCGTAATTGATCTCACATAATCTCCATTATATCATCTCTCTTGTATACTTGATATTTGACAAGTAATTATTGCAGCAAAACTGAAAAAACCTTGACTTAATAGTGAGTACAAATGCATGGTTGATTGCGACAGAAAATCGTTTAAAGGTGGTTTATGTATAAATTGAAAATTAGATGTGGTTTCTATAAAATGACCCTATTTTAAAGGTGGTTTCTATATTGATGGTTTATAATAGCTTCTATATTGATGGTGAAGGTTTAGTTTTTTTGGTCATTCTAATAGCTTCTATGGATTCAGGGAATGTTGGAGGTACTGGTGATGTGGCTTCTGATGGGTATCACAAGTACAAGGTAGCCTTCAGTATTTCTATTTATTTGTCCTGTTCCTATGTGAACTAATCAGTTAATGGAAGGTTGAGTGTTCTATATATTGTGCTTTTTTGGATGGTGTAAAATGTGAAAAACATTTACGAATGAAAACTATGAATTGAAAGTTACCATGTTATATATCAAAAGCAAACGTATCAATTGAAGATAGAGGTGTTTGGTTGTTAAGTTTGCATTGCCTACTTAGCATTAGGGGTGGTAAATGATCGAATTAAATTGAATCAAATAATAAGGTGGTTGTATTTGTATTTGTTTAAATTTATTGAATTCGAACTCGAACTCAAATATCCATTTCTGGAGTTTTTCGCAATCAAACCCGGGTACTCATTATTCCGTAAATATTTATGAACATTCACGAGTATTTATCAAATATCTAAGTATATTAATTCTACTAAAGAATTTGATTTTCAAATAGTATTTGAAACTTTATAAATGAAAATTATTTCTTTTTTAATTATGATTTATACATATTTAATTCAAATATTTCATTAGAAAGTTGATCGAATATTCTTTAGGTCTCACAAAATTAGTATATAGAATAGATAATATAACATCATGTGTGTAACAATACAAATTATAAGTGATCAACTTTTAAATGAGTATTTGATAAGCAAACGAATCGAATATACGTCTGGTTAAATTCATTCACTAATAAAACTCGAATACTAAATATTATTTGTTTAGTATTAAATGATCTTTTGAATTGAATATAATCGAATAGTTACTTGAACAATTAGCGAACTATTTGTTAATTGCTTGGTTTGTTTTCACTCCTACGTAGCATAAAAGCGTAAAAGTACAAATTTATGCATTTTCTAAAAGATCCAATGGTTTCTCACGTTTCTTTTTGTAATTTCACTTCTTATCTTCTATGATTTAATCAATACTTGTTTCGACCATCCGTGCTACTATGCCTTTTGCCATCTTTCAGAAGATCAATACTTATTTCGAATTCATGATCTTCATCTGATTCTTTTGAAAGTTCTCTTTAAAGCTAAAATCATCATTGATGTTTCAAGTTACTTTCACTTCTTGTCTTCTATGTTTTAAATTGTAACGCATTACCTACCTCTGCTAATATGCCTTTTTGTTGTCTTTTAAGATATCAATACTGATATCCATTTTGCGTTCTTCACTTTATTCTTTTGAAAGTTTCTTTCTAAGCTTTCCGGTCTATATAGCAGCTCTGCTTTGGAGCAAAATCATCGTCGAGATTAATTATATTGGGCTTCCAAATCCAGCAAAACTTGGAGACTGTTTTCAATATGCAAACTATAACTGGGAAATTCTTTTCAATATCTTGTAGGAAGATGTCAAACTCATGAAAGAAACTGGACTCGAAGGCTACAGGTTCTCCATCTCTTGGTCAAGATTGATTCCTCGTATGGCTGATAAGCTATAAACACTTGAGAATATTGTTACCATATATTACTTGTTTTTACTGGAATCATTTGTGAGTTATTTGTCTAATTATTGAAAATGCTTGTGCAGGTGGAAGAGGAGAAGTAAATTCCAAGGGTTTGGAGTATTACAACAATTTCATCAATGAACTAATTAGCCATGGTATAGTTATATAATTCTCAAAATTTGATGTAGTACTAATTCAGGGATCATTAGTTATATATACTGTGCAATTTGTACGATAGAATCCGAGAAATAAATACATATTACAAGACTCTGTTTCAAATATATGATAACTTGATGCCATTTCTTTTTATCTAAACCAATGGCATTGTTGGACTTACTCGAACAATCCATATATCTATAAATTTGATTAGAAAGATCTCTCATAAGTAAAACTTGCTATCAGTACCAACATCTAAACTTTTTTTTTTGGCAAATTAACAGCTGAAGTGAAGTTTAAGTGAACAAGAAAAAGAAAATAATAATGTCGCTCATTAGTACTTCCAAGTTTTAAGCTTCAGCCCTGGGATATCTTACTTATCATAAAACTAGTTATTTAGTTATGCGGAATGCTATGTGGAATTTTCTTTCAATCACCGATTAAATTTGCTTTCGTGTCAAGAAATAAAAACCTATACTGATTAAAACGGACCATTTGGATATACAACTAAAATACATACCACAATCTGAAAATATATGAAATGCCAAGATACCATAAACTTTGTACATTGGGTTCAAAGTGCATCAGTTTACTTGTTATATGTAGAGTTCGAGTTTCTTTTTTTCTTCTTTTTCTGATTCTCCTCTTTGCAGCCTTGACTGTGTTATTTGAATGGCAAGTTGTTGATATAGTTATGAAGGTGTTCATTTCATTCTATGTAAGCTATTCATACTGATAGAAGTCTATCTTGCAGGAATTGAGCCACATGTCACTCTATTGCACTTTGACCTTCCTCAAGTTCTTGAAGATGAATATGGGGGGTGGTTGAACCCCAGAATTGTGTAAGCTTATGACATTTTGCATTGATGATATTTTCTCTATCCAGTTTAATACTATTCACATTGCTAAAATTAGCTGGTCGAGCGACGACTTTCTTTTAAGGACGATATGGCTGGAGACTGAAACAACTTATATTAGGGGTCTGCTCAACAAAGGTTACTCTATACTAGTTTTGTTGATCTAAATGTTTACTGAGTCAGCTAATAAAAGTCAATTTTAAGTTGAATAACTTTTTCCAGTCACTATTTTCTAAATTGTTCTAGTGGGAATTCCATAGTAGAGCCGTACGTTGAATAAATTTTAAGTTGAATAACACCAACCTTTATTCCTAAATCAACGAAGGAATTACTGACATTTCTTGGCTTGAGGCATTTTCTCATAGCAGAATTCTCATTTGAAGTTGAATCAATTTGATAAGGATACCATGTGAATGTGTAGCAATTAGGCTGGACTATACCAGTCACTATTTTCATAATAAGAACTTATTTCAATCTACTAACTTTGGAGAATTAATTTAGACTTCATTAGTGTTCTTTAACAAGTCAGGCTACCATATTACTTTCCTGTTACCATGATGGTAAATTTTCAAAATCCTAAAAACTTTAAAACCACAGAACGAAAGAGCTTCCATATTTTTATTAACCTAGTTCTTGAACAGTATCAAGCAAAAAGCATGTCTAGATTACTGACTCTGCATTTTATAATCCTGGATGTCAAACATTTTGAAGGGCATGTTTTCTGAATAGAAACTTGACCCCACTCAATCTAAACTTTTAGGTAGCGGAATATTCTAAAGTATCGCAACATGGGTAGAGAATTAGTTTATGCCTGAAGAGATCATCGATTCAACATTAACACTACATATTTAGCAAAATGGGCTACCAGGATGCGGAGTGGTAAGGTGCACACTTCCCAATGTGACAAGCATGACAACCCTCATCATTAGTCTGTATCCTTGTTAGCACATGTAGCAAATTGAGACGCCACCTCTTACCCATTTTTCAATTTTGGAGATACCATTTTCATATTAAGCCTTCTTTCTTGATGGCTGCTTCACACTTTGAATGCTCTCTTTTTTGTTCAGGGATGACTTCACAGCATATGCCGATGTGTGCTTTAGAGAATTTGGTGACAGGGTTTCGCATTGGACGACCATAAATGAGGCTAATATTTTTGCATTAGGCGGTTATGGTCAAGGCATCTTGCCTCCTAAGCGATGTTCTCCTCCATTTGGCAATTGTTCTAGTGGGAATTCCATAGTAGAGCCGTACGTTGTGGCCCATCATTTCTTGCTAGCACACAGTTCAGCAGCTTCACTGTACAAGAAAAATTACCAGGTATTCTGTTTAGTCTCTAGCAACACAGTTGTTTATAGGCTTTAGCTCTTGTGCAAAATACAACAGCATCGCAAACAACTACGAAACCTTTTATCCAACATTTTGTAGCCGGCTTTGTGAATCATTTTCTTTCATTCAGTCCTGGGCCCTCTCCTTGGTCAAATTAACCACTACCATATTCGTTTTAGTTGCCTCCATCCTTTAGACGTACTATAGTTCTCCATTAACCATGTTCTTACCACTTAATTGGTGGGGTTATTCGCCTACATTGTCCAAAATGCTAAAATAATTTCATAAGAAGTCTGTGGAACCCTAGGAGTTGTAAATGGGGGTGTGTCATAAAATAATTTAAAAATGTTTGCTGGCACTTATTCGAAATGAGATGTAATCAAACGATTTAATCTTCTTCTGTAATTCGGAGAGTCAAGTTCTAAGCTAGTGCAAGTGACTGGCAATGCAGGCCAAGCAGCAAGGATCCGTAGGCTTGAATCTCCTAGTCTTCCATATGCTTCCAGCAACAAACTCAACAGCGGATATAAGTTCAACGAAGAGGGCCCAAATTTTTTTTACTGGCTGGTACGAGTCCTTACCTCCTCTTTTCCTCTTCCTAAAATCACATTGTAAACCTTGAGCAAATTTTGCATGCTGATATTGTACTTGTGCTCTTCCCTGAACTAGGTTCATGGAACCGCTCGTGCACGGGGATTACCCCAAGATTATGAGGAAGGCTGCGGGAAAGAAAATGCCGAAGTTTTCTTCGAAGCAATCGAAACAGCTCATGAATTCATTTGACTTCGTAGGTGTGAACTATTATGCAACTGTGAATGTGGTGGACGGCCCCAATCACGTGCCAGCTTATCAAAGAGACTTTATGGGTGATATATGCGCTAATATTACAGGTAAGTTATTAGTTTCAGAAGATTCTCGCGGTCTCTAAGTTTAGGAATGTTATTAAGATAACCTTTTACTCCAAATTAATCTACTTGATCCAAATTTTAGAATATTTCAAAGCTGTTTCTACTATGTTGTCTTTTTTGGTTAGGCTCTTAGTACATTGAAGAACATAGCCTCTGTTTCTTCTTCTTGGTGCAGGCCTTTGGATGAGCGGAGGCAGGGAGTCGATGGAAGCTGGAGTAAGTTAAAATATCGGACCTTCATTTTAAGTCTCAAGCTGTATTTGGTATAGCTAACTCTACTTACAAATGATTCAGATGAATGCACCATATGGCTTAAAAGGAGTGCTGGAGTATTTCAAGCAAAATTATGGCAACCCTCCTATCTATGTTCAAGAAAATGGTAATGTAACCAAGTTTAACCTAGCAGACCTTCTTATCTGAGTATAAATTTTACCTAGTAAATAATCAAATTAACATGTGAAATCTGACATGCGCGCAACTTGTTCAATATCTCTTAAAAACCTGAACTTTGCCTGCTACTAACCTCCTATTATGCCTGCTGTGTTGATTTTGTTCTGAACTGCGTTCGATAGTTGGATTTATTTTCTTCTTGCCAGGGTTATAGATTTTTCTGTTGCACTATCAACTTATGTAGCATGTCCTACTTTGTGTAGGTTACCCAATGCCATCTAACGCATCGCTAGATGATACACCAAGGGTGAAGCACATGAGTGCACACTTGGAAAGCCTTCTTGATGCAGTAAGGTACTTATAATATTCTTTCATTTTCAATAACTCGCTAATTACGCTCACAAATAAGCTATAAAAGCTAACAGGGTTCTTCATAATGTTTCCTTGCTCTCAGGAACGGCTCCAATACAACGGGCTTCTTCACTTGGTCCTTTGTAGATGCATTTGAGCTTTTTGGTGGGTACAGCTCTAGCTATGGACTATACCGCGTTGATTTTGGAGATAAAGAACGAAAGAGATATCCGAAACACTCTGCGCGCTGGTATTCCCACTTCCTCAAGAGGAGGGGGAATAGTATTTACACTGACAAGAGCTCCTCATACGTACCCCAAATTTATTAGATGATGCAGCAGCTTGAATTGAATTGCACTTGGTGCACTGTCTGTGAAACATCTACTGTTAGCAAATAAGACATAATAATAATGTACTGGAAAAAAGAAAAAAAGAACCGCAGTTGCTTTTGGCTATGCACAGTCTAATATCAGGTAGTGATCAATCAGAATATGCAAAATTGTTGAAATATTATTAAGTTTAGGGGCTTATGTGTAAGTTATAGGGGCCTATATAAGCCCATGTTATCTCATGAATAAGATTAAGGGTTTTTCAATAAACAATATGGTATCAGAGCCTCCACAGAAACCCTAACCCTAGCCGCCCCCCCTCTCTTCTTCCCCTGGTCAGCCTCCTCTCTGTCCTTTGAATTTTGTCCGATCAGACCCCCCCCCCCCCCCTTTTCGCCTCCTGCCAGACCTCGAAACCCCATCCAGAACCCCGACCCCTTCCACCGTGACGTCGACCAGAACCCCCGACCCCTCCTCCTCTGTCGATCATCTAGAACCCCCAACGCCTTCCCCTGCGACAGTGACAGAACTCCCGACCCCCTACTCTGTCCGAGACCACCACGAAACCTCACCTGGCCTGCACCTGACCGACCTGATCTCCCCACCTGACCGACCCGAACAGCCCCTGATCTCCCCACCTGACCGGAGACCAACCCGAACCCCCTGGGCCCCTTGACCCCGACCCCAGCCTTCCCCCCATCTACCGCTGCCACCTCCAAACCACATCTAGCGCCTGCCACCTCGAGCCCTTGCTGCGCTTATGTCGGACCTAGAGTTTGACATGGGTTCCCTTGACTCAGTCTCGAACTGATGACAGGAAGAGTATATACCTCACATCGATGAGATATATAACTGGTTTTGTTCTTGTTTCCTCTGAGAAACGAGAATTTGTTGGAGATCTTACTCTTGTTGTGCAGCCAGAAGTGCTGCCGAAATTTTCACTGCGCACAACAAGGGTTTGAAGAAAAAGTGAATAGGTGTTGGCATCTGAAGCTTGATCGATGGAGGAGATCATCAAGAAGTTGAACCCTGCGGGAGGTGTCAACTTTGATTGAAGTTGATGAAGTTGTCGGCTGGTGAAGAGCGCGACAAAACCATCGAAGAAGTTGGAGCTTCCGACCATCGATCTGAAGCTTGAGTGCCGAGTACGTACCTGAGCTGGTCGCGGCGGGTGAGATACACCTTGTAGGAAGGATCTGGAGGGTTACTTGACAGGAGAGGCGACAGAACCGGAGGAGGACTCGGAGGGAAGAGATGAGTGGAAGTCCACTCATATGTTGGTGTACATCTGGCTTCTCAACTCGTTGGTCCTGACGATCGCCGCCACGGTGGATGGCATTGAGAAGGTGAAGGACGTCTGGGAGAAGTTGAGGAGGACATATGATGGAGTGGGGAATAACCTGAGGGTATTCCAGATTAAAGGAGAGATCGACGCCACAGTCCAGGGAGAGAGGACTGTACAGGAATATGCTACAGAGCTGGACCGCCTGTGGCTGGATTATGATTATTTTTCTCCCCGGGTTAGCTGCAAGGACCCGGGATGTAAAGAGCGGGAGGCCTTTCTACAGGAGAGAACTATGGTGTTTCTCAAGGGATTGACATCAGAGTTCGCTCAGCGAATTGCATTACTGCTAGCTCAGCCAAAAATTCCTACGCTTGAGGAAGCTGTCTCGGCTATGATCCAAGAGGAGACTCGCATTCGGCTGCCGGCGGGGGCAGGTGGACTTCCTGTGGTGAAGTCAGCTTTAGCAGTATCTAACAATAATGGCTCCAGGGGAGAGACTCGGCAGTGCTACAACTGCGGGGAAGTGGGTCATCTAAGGCCATCCAAGGAAGGAGATTCGGGTGGACGTGGACAGTTCGGAGGTCGTGGTCGTGGTCATGGCCGTGGGGGTCGACGAGGTGGAAGAGGAGCAGGAAATCGGGCGAATCTGACGGTAGCAGAAGAAGAAGAAGCTGAGGTGGTCTTTACAGAGGAGGATCGTGCTCTTCTCACAATACTTAGGAAAAAAACAACAAATAGCAGGGGATGGAGATTTGAGGAGTGGGACTGCGGAGGCATCCACTTCGTTCTTCGCCAGAGGTAACACTGCTACCTATGCTCATCCGACCAAAGGTACTGATGACATACATGCTCTTGCTTCTATGTCTCCCGACAGTTCATCAGAGTGGATAGTCGACTCCGGTGCGTCTCGCCATGTAACAGGTAATGCTAGTGAGTTCTCATCATATACTCACTTAGCATCGCCTGATAGTATTCAAACAGCTGATGGTACATTTCAGCCGGTGGTTGGTAAGGGTACAGTCGATTGTACTGGTTCTGTAACTTTATCCAATGTTTTACATGCTCCTTCCTTTCCAGTCAATCTTTTGTCCATTAGTTCTATCATCCTCCAACTAAAATGTATTATTTCTTTTGATATTCCCAATGTGATTTTCCAGGAGAAAGGGACAGGACGGAGACTTGGGACTGGCACATGGCGTAATGGACTGTGGTAATGTGATTTTCCAGGAGAAAGGGACAGGACGGAGACTTGGGACTGGCACATGGCGTAATGGACTGTGGTATCTGGATCGTGAAGGGCTAGATTCAGCTTTGGTGTCCATGGTAGAGAGAGCAGGAGTAGGATCTGAGATGAGTGCTGGGAGTGTGTTAATGCTTCATCACAAACGCTTGGGACATACTTCTTTCGGTGTTTTAAGTAGGTTGTATCCATCTTTATTTGAGAAAGTAAATAAAGAGAAACTTGTGTGTGATGCATGTAAGTTGGGAAAGCTTACTAGAAGCTCTTATGTTAGTTCTGATTATAGGAGTTCTCATGCATTTGATATGATACATTCAGATGTGTGGGGACCATGTTCCACAAGTTCTATGAATGGATACAAATATTTTGTTACCTTCATTGATTGCTTCTCTCGCGTTACTTGGTTATACCTGATGAAGAATAAGAGTGAAGTGTTTGGCTATTTTCAAAACTTTCATAGGAATGTTCAGACTCAATATGGAGCAGTGGTGAAGGTATTGAGATATGATAATGGGACAGAGTACACCAACAGATTGTTTGGAGAATACTTATCATCTCAGGGAATACAACACCAGACTACGTGTCCATACACACCAGCTCAGAATAGGGTAGCAGAAAGGAAGAACAGACATCTTTTAGAGGTTGCTAGAAGTATGATGATCACCATGAATATCCCAGAAACATTGTGGGGGCAAGCAGTGTTGACTGCAGCGGCGCTGATCAACAGAATGCCCTCGAGAGTACTGGATTGGAAGTCTCCGTGTGAGACGTTGAAAGGAATGCCCTCGAGAGTACTGGATTGGAAGTCTCCGTGTGAGACGTTGAAAGGAGATAATGGTGGGATTCTTCCACTGAAAGTTTTTGGTTGTGTGTGTTTTGTGAAGGATAACAGACCATCAGTTGGGAAGCTTAACCCTAGAGCGGTGAAGTGCATTTTTGTGGGATATTCTGCTACTCAAAAGGGATATGTTTGCTGGAGCTCGATGGAGAAAAGGCTGTTCGTAAGTATGGATGTGTACTTTCGTGAATTTGAGCCATATTACACACAGAAGGTACCCTCATCCGTTGGTGACTCGCCCAATACTGGAAGTATGAGGCGAGAAGGGGAGAATGGTGAGAGGCAGAATAATATGGAGAAATCGATTTCTCTAACGATTCCTTGGGAAGGAGAATTGGTTGAGGAGGAGCAGGAGAATAAGAATAAAGAAGAAGATGAGACAAGAGGTGTTAGGCCCACGGCTCAGGGGGAGCTACTTACCTATAGTAGGAAGGGGAAGCAAATTGCAGAAACAGTACCTACAGTGCCACTAGTGCCAAGTCCCTTATCAACGCCTGTCCCGACTCCTGAGACACCTACACCACCATCAGATTCCTCTCAAGGTGATATCATTCCTCTCCTTACTCTCCCTACTCCTCCCACACCAATATCAGTACGGAGGACTACTCGTAGTAATGCGGGAAATCCTCCCGATAGATATGGTTGGGATCTTGCCCAGTTTGTATCATATTCTAATATCCACCCTGCACATGGAGCATTCATTGCATCATTGGACTCTGTTACTGTATCTAACAATTGGCAGGTTGTTAAGAAGGACCCAAAGTGGAAAGCGGCTATGCACGAGGAGCTAGGGGCTCTCGAGAAGAATCGCACTTGGGAGCTAGTAAAACTACCAGAAGGAAAGAGAGCAGTTGGATGTAAGTGTCGTGAGGGACTGGACTCAGCTTTGGTGTCAATGGTAGAGAAAGCAGGAGTAGGATCTGAAATGAGTGCCGAGAGTGAATTGATGCTTCATCACCAGCGCTTGGGACACTCATCCTTTGGTACTTTAAGTAGATTGTATCCATCTTTATTTGAGAAAGCAAATAAAGAGAAACTTGTGTGTGATGCATGTAAGTTGGGAAAGCTTACTAGAAGCTCTTATGTTAGTTCTGATCATAGGAGTTCTCATGCATTTGATCTGATACATTCAGATGTTTGGGGGCCTTGTTCCACAAGTTCTATGAACGGATACAAGTATTTTGTTACATTCATTGATTGCTTCTCTCGCGTTACTTGGTTATACCTGATGAAAAATAAGAGTGAAGTGTTTGGTTGCTTCCAAAACTTTCATAGGTATGTTCAGACTCAATATGGAGCAGTGGTGAAGGTATTGAGATCTGATAATGGGACAGAGTACACCAACAAAGTGTTTGGAGAATACTTGTCATCTCATGGAATACAACACCAGACTACGTGTCCATACACACCAGCTCAGAATGGGGTAGCGGAAAGGAAGAACAGACATCTTTTAGAGGTTGCTAGAAGTATGATGATCTCCATGAATGTTCCAGAAACATTATGGGGGCAAGCAGTGTTGACTGCAGCGGCGCTGATCAACAGAATGCCCTCGAGAGTACTGGATTGGAAGTCTCCGTGTGAGACGTTGAAAGGAGATAATGGTGGGATTCTTCCACTGAAAGTTTTTGGTTGTGTGTGTTTTGTGAAGGATAACAGACCATCAGTTGGGAAGCTTAACCCTAGAGCGGTGAAGTGCATTTTTGTGGGATATTCTGCTACTCAAAAGGGATATGTTTGCTGGAGCTCGATGGAGAAAAGGCTGTTCGTAAGTATGGATGTGTACTTTCGTGAATTTGAGCCATATTACACACAGAAGGTACCCTCATCCGTTGGTGACTCGCCCAATACTGGAAGTATGAGGCGAGAAGGGGAGAATCGAGAAGGGGAGAATGGTGAGAGGCAGAATAATATGGAGAAATCGATTTCTCTAACGATTCCTTGGGAAGGAGAATTGGTTGAGGAGGAGCAGGAGAATAAAGAAGAAGATGAGACAAGAGGTGTTAGGCCCACGGCTCAGGGGGAGCTACTTACCTATAGTAGGAAGGGGAAGCAAATTGCAGAAACAGTACCTACAGTGCCACTAGTGCCAAGTCCCTTATCCTCTCCTTACTCTTCCCACACCAATGTCAGTACGGAGGACTACTCGCAGCAATGCGGGACATCCTCCCGATAGATATGGTTGGGATCTTGCCCAGTTTGTATCATATTCTAATATCCACCCTGCACATGGAGCATTCATTGCATCATTGGACTCTGTTACTGTATCTAACAATTGGCAGGTTGTTAAGAAGGACCCAAAGTGGAAAGCGGCTATGCACGAGGAGCTAGGGGCTCTCGAGAAGAATCGCACTTGGGAGCTAGTAAAACTACCAGAAGGAAAGAGAGCAGTTGGATGTAAGTGGGTATTCACTGTGAAGCAGAATCCAGATGGGCAAGTTGAACGCTACAAGGCTCGTCTGGTGGCAAAAGGGTATAGTCAGACATATGGCATCGATTATGATGAGACTTTTGCACCGGTGGCAAAGATGAGTACTGTTCGGACCTTAATCTCTCTGGCAGTAAATGGTGGATGGAAGCTACACCAACTAGATGTGAAGAACGCATTTCTTCATGGAGATCTAGTGGAGGAGGTATACATGGAGATACTACTAGGATTCGGTACAGATCAGACGGTGGGAAAGGTCTGCAGATTGAAGAAGTCTCTCTATGGGCTGAAGCAGTCTCCTCGTGCTTGGTTTGACAGATTCAGAAGGGCTATGATTGGTATGGGGTACCAACAGATCAACGCCGACCATACCGTGTTCTTTCGACGGAATGAAGGCCACATTACCATGCTTGCGGTATATGTGGATGATATGATTATTACAGGGGATGATGAGAAGGAGATTGTCCAACTAAAAATGAGACTGGGTAAGGAATTCGAGGTGAAAGATCTTGGCTTGCTTCGATACTTTCTTGGAATAGAGATAGCTCGAGGAGCGGAGGGAATCGTCCTATCCCAGAGAAAGTATGCACTGGATCTTCTCAAAGAGACAGGGATGTTAGGGTGCAAACCTGCAACTACACCGATCGACCAGAAGTTCAAACTAGGTGTTGAGGCCGGAGAACCAGTTGATCATGACAGATACCAGAGGCTGGTGGGAAGATTGATCTATTTGAGTCACACACGTCCTGATATCTCTTTTGCAGTGAGCGTGGTGAGTCGCTACATGCACGATCCGAGGAAGGGTCATATGGACGTTGTGTACCAGATTCTGTGATATTTAAAGAGTGCCCCCAGAAAGGGACTGATATTCAGGAAGAATGGACATGTGAGCATCGAGGGTTATTGCGACTCTGATTGGGCTAGTTGTGCTGATGACAGGAGATCCACCTCAGGATATTGTATCTTTATAGGAGGCAACTTGGTCTCGTGGAAGAGCAAGAAGCAATCGGTGGTAGCGAGATCAACAGGTGAAGCAGAGTATAGAGCCATGGCCTTAGGAGTTACAGAGTTGTTGTGGTTAAAGAGTATGTTGGTAGAGCTGAAGCTGGATCAAGAAGCCAAGATGAAGCTGTGGTGTGATAACAAGTCAGTCATCAGTATCGCCAACAACCCAGTGCAGCATGATAGAACCAAACACATCGAGATCGATAGGTTCTTCATCAAAGAGAAGTTAGACAATGGACTACTGGAGTTAAGTCATGTTCCAACTAATGATCAGGCAGCAGATTGTCTGACTAAGGGACTTAGCTCAGTAGATATGATTAGAGGATGTGACAAGATGGGCTTAGTGGATATCTTTCGCCCATCTTGAGGAGGAGTGTTGAAATATTAATAGGTTTAGGGGCTTATTTGTAAGTTGTAGGGGCCTATATAAGCCCATGTTATCTCATGAATAAGATTAAGGGTTTTTCAATAAACAATAAAAATAAAGTAAATCATCTCCAATAGGCCCTTCCTCAATCCTATCATCGGTCACTACACTAGAAGAGCCATCATATTCTATCCTTCCCTCCCCCGCAGTATGCCCTCCTAAGTGTTGTTTTGCTCCTCCTATGCATGTCTTCATTTGCCCCAGCTAGTGGTGGTGAAGAAGAGGCTATGACGTGACTAAATTTAGGATTTTGAAGCAACGTATTTTTTTTGGGATCTTTCGATCGGGAGCATAGAAGTGCGGGTCTGGTCGGGTATATTATGCACCCACATAATTTTATTATGGGGGCGCATATTCCTTGACTGCTCGATTATGTGGTTTGACCGCATAATCGAGCGGCCAACATGTTTGGATCTCACGTAGGAGTACCCGAGCGAGTATTCGGACCACGGGTAGAGTGTGTTTTTAAACACTAATTTTCTCATACTTTTATCTACACAAATGAGATAGCTAGCTTTTGCTAAATTTTGGTACTACTTTAGATGTTTGATTCCGGTTTTGTAAATTTTGGCGACGCATCTCATGTGTATTAGTGGAAAATTCAAGCCAGAAATTATTTGCGGAAGAAGCGTGCCTAATGTAACTACTTTGTTGGATTGTGACTTAATTATCTAAGATTTAGAGAACCTTCCCTACGCTGGAATTTGCTTGTGAAGGTGTGATTTCTACGCTGAATCCGATCTCCTTTTCGAAAACGATATTCGATGCTTCTGGTGTCACCCACTTTTTTCTTGAATTTTGAATTCCCACGATTGTTATCACGACAGTTAATCATGAAGGAATATCTACCTAATGATGTCATTTCACTTTGTGTGCTGATGACCACATCCAATTGTAGGAAACTGAGAAGAGAAAAATGTACGTCTCCCATAAGTTCTCTATGGGGGGTTAGTCACCTAGAAGATGCTTATAATTGTGGATCAATTGAAATACAAAAATTTCAAATAATCTAATAGATTCTTGGGGTTATTTACATATATACCCTTAAATCAAGGGTATCTGCAAAATTACCACCCAAATCCTAGTATCTGCAAAACTACTTTCCGAGTCGTCAATTTCTGAAAAAAATATCGCGAAAACTAACAAATCACCATTATGGCAAGTAAAAATTTGATCATTTTTTTTAAAATAACTTTTAAATTGCAGTTACAAATTAGCATGTTAAAGACGATGAGCCATTGATTTGGAAATTTTTTCCAAAATCAAAGATTTGATGGGGAGTCTTGCAAATATTGAGATTTAAAGGGTAGTTTACAAATACCCATGATTTAAGGAGTATATATGCAAATAACTGTAAATTCTTTTTTTATTATCTAAGGTTGTAAATTGATTTGGAAATTTTTTTTATTATCTAAGAGTCAACCTCAGTGAGCTAGCAAAGGAATGCACGCCCATAATCATAGTGATGTGGTACATTCCAGAAGTACTTTTTGAATTAGACCAATTCTCAAAAATATTTATCAAATAGACCTGTTTCCAAAATATTTATCAAAATAGACCTCCTTTCTATCACGTTGGATGAAATTAGGTCGATTTTGATAAGTTCTCAATCTCGTAGAGTTTGACACACAATTTAACTCTACGAGATTGCCAATAACGTAGAGTTCAGAAATCTCTTTATTTTTTTAAATCGACCTAGTTTTATTGACATAACTGAAACTAGGTTGTTTTTAATAGATATTTACAAGTACATCGAAACTAATAATTTAAAAAAAAAAACCATTTCAAAATTCTGTCCTCTGTGACATGTGAAGGACTTCGCTATCATCTATGAAGGCATACTATGCGTCTCTTTGTCCTTTTCCTTTTGAGGAGGTAGTAGCCAGCTTCTTCTTTGGGGCTAATAAAAAGGAAATTGAAGGACGTCCACAAAAAAAAAACCAATCATACATTTCACAGAGAGAGATGAGGTTTCTCCCATCTTCATTGCTTCTCCTCCTTCTAGCCGTTTCAAGTAATCTGATAAATTCTTCATTAACATCTAAGGTTGTGATATAAAGAATGCATATGTACATAACAATCATAGTCATGCGGTCCGTATTAAATTTTTCCTCTGGGTCCATCGTTGGACCTAATAAAGGGGAGTTGGAGTTAAGCTGACCACACATTTCAAGTGATGGAGCTGATCCTCCTCATTGGGAAAAAAAAAAAAAATCTACCTCCAACTTGGGATTCAATAAAAGGGAGTTAGAGGAATGCAATAATAAACTGATCACACTACATCTCAGTGATTTCACAGAGAGAGAGAGAGATGAGGTTTCTCCCGCCTTCGTTGCTTCTGCTTCTTCTATCCACTGCCCCTTTGGGCTTCACTGAGCAGACTGCAACTGAAGAGTATAGCAGAGATGACTTCCCCTCTGAGTTCGTTTTTGGAGCAGGGACCTCAGCTTATCAGGTCAATAATGGTGCCAGAATAATTAGTATGGGAGCTAGTCGTGTGCAATTTATGCATGTTGCTAAATTGTGTTATATATTAATTACTTAGTATGAGGGAGCAGTAGCAGAGGATGGAAGGAGTCCAAGCATTTGGGATACTTTCACACATGCAGGTATCATACATGCATCCATATTTTTTTAAGAAAACATTGAAAAAGGAGGTTTTTTTCCAATGAAAACCACCTTTACTATAGGTCGAATCGATAAAAATCATCTTTAAAGAAATTCTTAAATTAAGCCCCTCGAACCATTAGATCATCCCTCTAATCATTAGTGAACTCACGCAGCGGTAACAATTTTTAAATTCCATGTTAAATTCGTGGCTAACAAGATTCAAACCTAAGTTGCTCTGCTACCATCTAAAATTTAGTCACTCTAACCATTACACCAAAATTCCGAAGTTATGGTGAGGATCGAGGATTATACTTTTATATTAATTCTGACATTTGCCCTTGCAGGTTGAGCGCCCCTTTTTACTGGTCGAAACCTAGACTCATGTAGCAGTGTCAGTTTTTTTTTAAAAAATCTGCTTTAAATTTGTAGCCGATGGGATTTGAACCTAGGTAGTTAGATATTATTAGTATTTAGATCGAGTAGATATTATGAGATATCATTGAGATATTATGAGATATGATTTGATATGATTTTATCTCATACTTATTTCATAATATCCTCCTAATCTCTATAAGAGAGGTTAGGATTAAATGAATGAAGATCTTTTACCTTTTCTATTTTCTCTACGTGGTATCAGAGCCTAATTGATCTTATAGAACTTCCCTCCATCTTTTTAGGTCTCAAGGTCGTCGAGGGGGTTTTGCATAGCCTTCATGCTCCTCTTGACGGCTTTGATGGCATCGACGGCTTCAACAACATCAACAACTTTGGCATCATTGTTTTCAAAATATTATCAAACACCCTACACAAAATAAACTAAAAAAAGGAATCCACTGTTCACGTAACAAATAGTAACGATGGTGTTCGTGAACATCGTTCACGTAACATCGTTAGATGGAGGGAAGTTTGACAAAAAGCTGATTGATTGAATACTAATCCCACTTATAACGTGGTTTACTTGTGGGAAAAACTTAAAAAGGTAGTTTTTATTCGATTCAACCTATTTCAAAGGTGGAAAACCCTAAAAAATGGCCATTTCCCTTCAAAACTTCAAGAAAGAATTATTTATTTTATAAAAAGCTATGGTCAAGCGCAAGCAGGATTGTCATACAACTTTGCTGTATTTTGATTTAGTATTGTTGTAACTGAACTTTTCTGTAGGTGATATATATCGAGGTTGTGATACCATTAAATTCGATTCAAATAAACCGATAAGTATTACACGAGAGTGTCTATTAAAAATTAATCAGTTTGGTACAAAATTTATGTTCATGAGTAAAATGGTTTTCAAAATGGTATCATTATACATCAGGTTTCCGAAGGTCCTAAGGTTAAATCTCGAGAGGAAGTGTTGAGAATTAACATTAGCTTGATATACGTTAATTCGTAGATTAGAAGGTTGACTTTTGAATAAAAATGGTCCTTGACAATGAGTGTAACATTTTTCCTTTTCTTCTCCTCTTATAATTTTGTTAGAGTTCTACTTGTTTAATATGACAGGGAACATGGCAGATAAAAGCACAGGTGATGTGGCTTCTGATGGATACCACAAATATAAGGTGTGCTCCAAGCCTATGGATTTCAACTACCCTAAGAATTTCAAAGTCTTAACTTGAAAATATCAAGATTTAGGGGTTTATCAGAAAGAACCCCAGAGTAGTTGCACACACCAGAGCAATTCATTACTATTAGCAATTTAGCACGCATTCCTAGGTCTAATCTAATCAACAATTTGTATTTATCACCAAAAACATAAGTTATGAAGCCTGATGAATGTTAATATTGTAATGTGGATAGGATAAGTGGATATTCACTGTGACGATGTATTCTCTTGGAGTTGGATCTTTAAATTCCATAAATGGATATATGTCACCACTAGTCCTTTGTTCATCAGCTGCTCAGAAATGACGAAAACCACCCTCCATCAAAAGCCAGCAACATTTTGATTCTAATGTCTCTATATAACATCATTTTATATATCAAAATGGCATCATAAATGATATCATACCCAAACAAATTGTAGGAGCTAATCCCCACTTGATCAGTTGATACTGATAATTAAATCAATGTTTGATCTCGACACAGTAGCATCAGAAGTGACTACTACACATCCAACCTGCTAAAACATGACACGGTAAACATTATAATATTGCATAAGGGACCAATGTATTTTTTTTCATGATCCTTGGTTGCTACTTGCCAGGCTTCTCTGTGGAACCGGGATTTGAATTTGTCCGAATTCTATCGAACCCAACTGCTACCAAGCTTATTCTTTTATCTGAAAGCTATGAAACTCGGTGATAGATAAAATCAGGAATCAAATAAGCAACAGATAACTTGTTCAAAGTTCCTCGTAAACCACCTGAACAAAGTTGTCTATTGGTTGTTTTAATTCTTTCTGCCGTTCTCATATTCAATTTTTCAGGAAGATGTCAAGCTCATGAGTGATCTAGGATTGGAAGCCTACAAATTTTCCATTTCCTGGTCAAGGATTCTTCCAAGTAAGGGACATCAATATCTTTAGATACTTTGATTACAAAATTCGTATCATTAATTTTTCTTTTGCAGATGGGAGAGGAGCTGTCAATCCAAAAGGACTCAAGTACTACAATGATCTTATCAATGAGCTAATTGAACACGGTAATTGTCCACAGCAGATGCTTAGCTAAAATTATGATCCTAATTCTTAATAAAACCCGAAACTATGAGAATGATTGAGAATGCAAATTTCTCATGTAAAGTAGACCACTGGGAAAGCCTGAAACACTTGATATGACTTATCATATAGAATCAGTAAAAATGTACTTGATAGTTTCAAACTGGATGGCAAACTGGAATTTCAGTAATCTATATTTTCCAATTTTTGAAAAAAATTTCTAACTTGTGTGTGTGTCTGTGTGTGTTTTTTTGGTGGAATAGGAATTCAACCACATATCACTCTCTACCATCTAGATCTTCCCCAGGTCCTTGAAGACGAGTATGAAGGATGGCTGAGCACTAAGATTATGTAATTTCATTGGACTCTAATGTCTCACAAGTTTGAAATATTTATTTATACTGGAAGCTTCAATAATTTTGTACAAATTGATGCAGAGATGATTTCGAAGAATATGCAGATGCGTGCTTCAGAGAATTTGGTGACAGGGTTTCTCACTGGACTACGATCGCTGAACCCAATGTAATAGGACAGGCATCCTACGACAATGGACTTTTTCCGCCAGGGAGATGTTCTTATCCATTTGGAGTTTATAATTGCTCAAATGGCAATTCTACAGTAGAGCCTTATATCGCAGTCCACAATATCCTCTTAGCTCATGCAAAAGTTGTCAACCTATATAGAACCAAATACCAAGTCTTCACATTCTCCACCCCTTTTTTTGTTTTCTTCGATTAAAGTTTCATTGCAGACAAATAGCTAATAACTATAAGTTCTTATGCAGGCGATGCAAAGTGGTTCAGTTGGGCTGAATGTCTATACCATTTGGTTATCTCCTTTTTCAAATTCATCTGCTGATATCCAGGCAACTCAAAGGGTAATAGATTTTATGGTTGGCTGGTAAGCACATGACATTATATAACATAACACCACTCTTTATGTTACCTTCTACTAACGAACTGCTCTACTCAAGGGTTATGAACCCGCTAGTCTTTGGAGATTACCCGGAGATCATGAAGAAGAATGCTGGTCAGCGGCTTCCATCTTTCACCAAAGAAGAATCAAAACAAGTGAAGGGTTCATTTGACTTCATCGGACTGAACCACTATACATCAGCATATGTCAAGGATAGCCCCAGTGATCAAATGTCTGACCTTCGCGACTTCACCGCAGATATGTTCAGCATAATCACAGGTATTCTTTCTCTCCCTTGACAGCTAACTGGCTTATATGGGTAAATAGTAGTCCTAAACTCTATCACATTTGTTGCAGTTTCTAAGAATGAAACACCAGCTGGTCAGGTAAAAGTCCAATTCTTATGTACATGTCATGATTATTTGTATGTTCATCTGTTGGCACAAGCTGCTAACACTGGCCTTTACTATCAGTACGTCCCAACTAGCATAAACAGTGATCCACCTGGGCTTCGAAAGATGCTGGGATATTTAAAACATGAGTATGGAAATCCACCTATTTACATCCAAGAGAACGGTAGGTCTTATCTTCATTTTATCGCAGCACACTTAATTTAGTTTTTGTTTTATTTTATTTTTCATTTAAGGATTTTGTAACTACTATAAACATTAATATTGCCTTTGCTAAATTAGCAATGACAGTTTTAATATCACTGGTTCTATTTCCTTAACTGCTGTAACGGCCTCATCTCAACATTTGGCCCAAAATTATCATGATGAATTGCAATATATTTTTAATTTTTCCCATTAGGTTATGGCTTGGGTGTCAAGGATACCCTCAATGACACAGATCGGGTTGACTACCTGGATGGATTTATAAGAAGCATGCTACAGGCTATCGGGTATGAAGTATTTTCATACTGCATCCCTGAAAGAAGACAAAGAAAGCACACTAATCAATTTGATGTTTTTCCTCTTCTTGTTTTGCTTATAGGGATGGATCAAATGTGAGAGGGTACTTTGTATGGTCCTTCTTAGATGTTTTTGAATTTTTGAGTGGATATGAATCAAGCTTTGGGCTGTACGATGTGGATTTTGACGATATAGAGCGCAAGAGGCAACCAAAGCTCTCTGCACATTGGTATTCCAACTTCCTTACGAAGAAGAAGAAGAAGAATGATATCCACATACGGAGGAGTGGTCTGCAGGGAATGTATCTTCAGCAGTGATAGGCATAGCAGGAGAATAGGAAATCATTTGATTTTGCAGCTTGTTATTCTGGATGCATATAAATGATTGTTCTATTTGATTATGTCATCGATTGTATAAGTGCTTTTATCTGACATATGTCTATTTCGTGTTTTCTTATCAGAAAGAAGGAAAATAGCAGAAAGAACTAGGGAAAATCATCACATTTGTATCATAAGAAAGGTGGCTGTCACGCCCCGAAATCTACAGCGGAAATTCATAAAATACGGGGTACGCGACAGCAGCGACCCGTGCACGAGACAAGTCTTATGCACGAGTCAAGCCTGGCAACTCATATGACATAGTTTATTTTCAAAATATTCATAAACCTGCTGATGATAGAAATCAGAGCAACTATATATATATGATCGGTACTTACAGCCCACAAGCTCACCGTTATAAGCATTTTTACAAAACAAAACAAAATGTGCTGAAGGTAACATCAACAAGAAGAGGCTCTCCATATAACGCCTCTCAGCCAAAAGCTCAAACCAAAAGTTCGGCTACTATGAAGCTACGCCGTATCTGAAATTTTTTTAAAAACAACGGAATGAGCTAGCGCTTGTAGGCGTCAAAAATGCTGATAGGTATCAGGATATCATTCAAAAAGGATATCATTCAAAAAAAGTAGAAGAACACAAGTATGGGCTGTCTCGCACGCGAGACAGTCTTTACTGTCTCGCCAGCGAGACAGTATTCTCTGTCTCGCCATGTGGGAAACGTCGTGGGCGAGAATCACGTTGATAACTGCCAAAATAATGGAGTTTGAAACATGGGAAGGCAGTTACAAAAAACTATCAGGCAGTTAACGATTTCCGAGACAGGGTTTTACTGTCTCGGAACACAGTGTTTACTGTCTCGGAACCCGAGACAATCTTTGCTGTCTCGGCCGCCGAGACAGCAAACACTGTCTTGGAAACAATGTTCATCCTAGGGGCTATAAATACCCCCCTGAGATCATTTTTGAAGGAGGCTGATCAGAGAGCACTTGTTAGAGCAATCCAGAGCAGAGAGAGAGCAGAGTTCTTGAGCTTCTGGCAATCCCTTGAAATTCGAGCCTTGACTTGATTTCAAGAAGATCGACTATCTTACTTTGATAAGATATCGTTTTAAATTCTCACTTCGATAAACGAATGAAGAATCATCAAACCCCTCACGGTTCAATCAGAATCTGTGATTTGGTGGTCCACGAGTCAAAGCGCTCCCGGCACAGACAAAGATCCCACGCAAGCAGCGATCCAAACAACGATTCTGCGTTTGTTTCTAAAAAGTTGTAATTTTCATTTTGTTGTGTAAAAGAGGTCTTATAAAAAGACTATTTCTTTTGAATTTATTGTAATCGACTGAAGATATAATGAATTCCATGACAAAACCAACTTTTGACGCAAACAAATTGGCGACCACAGTGGGAGCTAACGGTCTCGCTGCCGAGACCGTCGTGTCGCAGCCAACCATCAAGATCCCGGTTGAATCAACGGTCGAGTACGAGTTCGACCAAGCGAAGTTTGAGGAGTATTTGTCATTCTCATCTGTAAAGTCTTCCTCGCCTCGAGTACGAGTTCGACCAAGCGAAGTTTGAGGAGTATTTGTCATTCTCATCTGTAAAGTCTTCCTCGCCTTGCAAATGCAGGAAGATTTCATCTTTGTTGAAGTTATCAAACACTACAGATGAAGACTCTCGCTTAATTGTTGCTGAGGATTCTACTCGCAACCTCTCTGCTCATAATGACTCTTCTCCAATTAAGGAGTCATTAAATCAAAGCCCGCCGGCATTGACGAAAAGAGCTCGTCAGAGACAACGCCAACGCCGCGCTCGCCAAATGGCTAAGGCCTTGGAACAACCCGACGGAGTTCGTTATCATGCGGACTTAGAGTCGAGGAGGCATCGAGTGGTTCAGTTGTCTCAACGACCAATCACTCATGTCTCTGCTAAACTCACGACGGAGGAATGGACTATTGTCAAAAGGGCTCGCTCGACCCTCAAAGAACGTATACAAAAACGTCGTGCAAACGCTGCTCATGCCCGTGCTCTCTTACAACAAAGACGAGAAAGGAAGAAGGAAACGGTGGCCAAAGAACCACCGAAACTCTGCCAAGTTTGGATTACAAAGTCTGGAGTTGTGAAAAATCAACATTCGGAGCCCGTTAAGACTCCACACCCGCAAGGGGGTGGTTCTAAACGTATGACTCTTGACATAACCTTGGATCGCTCAGAGGTGATGACAAGTCATCCTGGGTATGATAACAATGTTCAAACACAAGAACAGAAGATAGGTTGCTCTGGTCACCATGCTGACGAGTTGTACTATCAAACTAAAGGTGGAAATAAATCACATAAAAGGACTGTTCGAGAAACGAATCGTCATTGTGTATGTGAAAAACTTATCAAAGCAGTGTTGTCCAAATGCAACTGCTTTAAAGCCATTCCACCGAAAGTTTTTGTGTTCCAGAGACTTTCTACTGAAATGTCAAAGTCCAAACCAAGACGTTTCAATAAGAAGTCAGATGTCCAAGATGACGAATTCCCTAAAGTCACCGTCAACATGGCTGATAAAGGAAAATCTAAGCGGCATTTAAATGAATCAAATCCCGACTTTTCCCCGAGAGGAAAAGTCAATTCAAGAATTGCCAAACGGATGTCCCGACTCCAGTTAAGAGCCATCAGACATAGGGACTACAAGAGAATGCATGAAGGAAAGTCATCATAGGACGAGCTCTCGGACACTTGTTCTGCGATCGCTTCGGAGGATACCATATCTAGCACAGGGCAAACCAGAGAAGTACTCACAATCACCTCTGATCAGTTCGCTCAAATACTTCAAGGAAGCAACGTGAAGAAATTAGAGCTGAGATGAAGACAGAGATGGAGTTAGCTATTCAACAAATGAGAGAGTTGCTAACTCAACAACCTCAACCTCCTGAGTCCAGTCAGCGAGCTGAATCCAGCCGCCACACTCAGAATGTTGCAGATGATAGTGATCCAGAAGTGGATGAAGTCATCTTTGCTGATACACCTCCCAATAGCAATAACGCCGGGGGTGGTTTAACACACCGTCCCAATAACGATATTGGGGGTGGTTCAATAGCACCTCTTACAGGGGGTGGTCTAACTCATTCTCCTCAACGTCCTTCGAATGAAGACATAGACGATGACGAGAAAATGAAAGAGCTTGAAAACAAAATCAACACTTTGATGACGGCTCAAGAAGTGAAAAAGACGGGTATTCCATGTCCCTATCCAAGAGAATAGGATTTAATACCGTACCCGGTAAAATTCAATCTGATTAACTTCACACCGTTTGACGGGAAGAGCTCGCCTATTCAGCACTTGAACTTCACACCGTTTGACGGGAAGAGCTCGCCTATTCAGCACTTGATTTATTTCAAGTCTCATTTGGGCGTGATCTCTGGAAATGAGACTTTAATGGTCCGGTCATTCGTTGGCACCCTTCGTGGGCCCGCCTTCGATTGGTACCGACATCTCAAGCCAGGGAGCATCAATTGCTGGGATAACATGAAAAGTTTGTTCCTCAGTAATTTCTTCGATGATGACACTGAAGTGTCAATCGGAACCCTTCTAGATGAAAAGCAAAAAGACGGGGAGTCAGTCGACAATTTTATCAAGCGCTTCCGTAACAAGACAATGAATTGCAGAGATCCTGTTACAGAGGAGTTCATCCTGCAAACATGCCACAATAATCTCTCTATCGATGTCCTGGAAGCCCTGGGGTCGTACCATCCAAAACTTGGAAAGATTTAAAAATGCGCGGCGAACAAGCTGAACACTTTCTTAAAAGAAAGAAAGCTGAGAAAAGCCGATCAACGACATCTGCAATCGCTGGGAACGCGACTCTCAATCCGAGGTTTCAAAAGGAGTATTCTTTCGAAAATGATGAAGCTCCAGCCATATTGAAATACCTCCTCGCTAATGATAAAATTGAGCTGCCACCTATTAAAGATCAGGAGGGAGCTAAAAGGATTACGGATCCAAATTACTGTGCGTACCACAGAAGGGTTCTTCATCCCACCGAGATTTGCTTTGGACTCAAAAATAAAATCCAAGCCCTAATTGACACTGGCGTCATAACGGCGAAACAAGCCAATTAAAGACGACTTTACTCCATTGGATACACGAGTATAAACTGTTTTCCCCTCGCTCCGAAGAGTATACGAGTATAAACTGCTTCTCAACACTCCAAAGAGTATACGAGTATAAACTGCTCCTCGATACTCCAACAGGTATATGAGTCTAAACTATTTCCTTTCTTTCACGGGAAGTTCCTAGAGAGCGCCATGCATAGTACTCTTAAGGATAACCCAGTCACGTAACTCAGTATGATGTTAGGCCCAGTTTCGCGAAAGAAGCTGGGGGTGGATAGTTCATGTAACGGGAAGTTCTCGGAAGAATGCTATATGTAATTTTCTTAGGGATAACTCGATCATTACAAACAAAGTGATAAACACTATATCCCCACGGTGATCTCTTTTGCTGAGGTGAGATTCGAGCACTTAGTTGGATCAATCTTCCCTCACAAAATTCTCTCTTGGTCAAACCTTTAAACAGTTAGGACCAAAGCCAAAATCCTCTCTCGATTCCTTCCATGAACGAGAGGTCCACAAATCGAATGGTCAAACCTTTAAACAGTTAGGACCAAAGCCAAAATCCCCTCTCGATTCCTTCAATGAACGAGAGGTCCATAAATCGAGCGATCAAACTTTACTACAGTCAGGATCACCTCGAAACTCCCACCTGGTCAAACCTTACTACAGTTAGGACCATAACCAAAATCCCCTTTCGATTCATTTCAAGAACGAGAGGTCTACTTTTGAATTGAATAATCAAACCTTATGACAGTCAGGATTATTCAAACCAGTCCAGATCCTCTAAGTGGATATCCCATTTTCAGTTTCTTTTGCACCAGGAGATAGAATATAAAATTCTTTTTCTCCGATTTTGGGTTCATCTCTACCAACAAACAAGAGACCAGGAGATAGAATATAAAATTCTTCCTCTCCGATTCTGGGTTTATCTCTACCAACAAAAAAGAGACAAGGAGATAGAATATAAAATTCTTACTCAGACCAGGAGATAGAATATAAAATTCTTCCTCTCCGA